TCATAAGTGAGGGACCCTTCGTGCCCCCTGATTTGACATTTGGGATCCAGTTTTGACGAACATTCCAATATTACACCCAGTTTTGTCATTTTCCCAAATGGCGCAGAGCCCAAGGAAGAGGGAGCTTCCGTCGCCTTTTAAGTCCGTCGAGGTTGAATTGTTGCAGAAATAAGAAATGATTTTCGACCGTAGACGTGCTCGCGCTACGTGTCAATGACCTAACGTTACCAGTACAGTGTAGCGTAGTACGTCTGGCGGGCTCCTCGGGCAGCATGCACAGGACAGACGTACACCGACGAAGCAAGGTTTGTACTAGCCTGCCGCTTCCATCGACGGGATCCCAGCAGCTCCAGACTCAACAAATAGGTTTAGCACAAAAATAAAGCTGGCTAAACTCGTCATCGCACAGTGGTCGAGTTCGTCAACACGGCCACAGCTGGCCCGGTGCCCTCTGATTTCAACCCAGGCACCAGCAGCTTACATACCGTACCTGGTGCTATCGCATCGACTCAGGCATCGACTAGGGCTTGGCAAGAGGAAGGCGAGAACTTCAAAAATAAATCAATGTCCTAATTGGTGTCAATAGCCACTTTGGCACTATTTAGTAGCCAATCTTAAAGATCTGGTTGGTGTTGTTGTCGACGCACCACCAGACCTGAGCGGCTTCGTTCGAGTCGTTGACATCGGCGTCGAGGCAGATGTTGTTGAAGCGCGCGTGGATGACCTTGGCGCCGCTGAGCCGCCATTTCTGGTTCGAGTTGTTGCCGTCGCAGTCGTACACGTGCACCTTGACGTTGTTGCCGTCCATGTACGCGTCGAGGCACTTGTTGGCGCCGTAGTTCTTGATCTGCTGCGTGTTGGCATCGTACGTCCACTTGGTGAAGCCGTCCCAGTTGTTGTCCTTGGCCGCGACACCGCCGTACCATTCACGGAGCGCCTTGCCGCGGTTCGTAATGAGCTGGAACTGGCCGCTGGGCTTGTCGTCGTTGCCACCGCCGCTGCCGGGCGTCGTGGCCGAAAAGTCAAACTTGTAGTCGCCGTTGGCGTTGGCGACACCAAACTGCGCTTCGTACCCGCCCTTGTTCGGGTTGTCGTGGTACATGAAGTAGATCGGGTTCTCGCCGCCCTTGGAGCTCGACCACGCGTTGACCTTGTTGAAGTAGTCGACCGCGTTGCCCCAGTTGGAGACGTGGTTGCCGTTGTTGCCGCCGCCAAACGGCCACCCGGTCTCGGTCAAGAGCAGCTTGTTGCCGCCAAACTTGTTGGTCATCTGGTTCCAGCGCGCGTCGAGATCCGAGATCGGGTTGTTCCACGAGTTGGGCGACCCGCCAAAGAAGGCGTAGATGTTGACGCCCATGATATCGCACGCGTTGGCCAAGTCGGGGTTGTTGAGCCAGTCGCCGTCGGTCTGCACCGTGCCGACGCGGACGTTGATGCCTGCGGCGCGGAGGCGACCCCGCACGTCGTTGACCTTGTCGCGCACCTGCCACTGGTTCCAGCCGTTGCTAATGTCTTCGTTGCCGACAAAGACGGCCTTGACGATGTCGCCGTGGCGCTTGCAGCCGTCAATGACCGCGTTCACCTCGGCGTTGTAGTCCATGCCATTGCGGAGCCAAATGCCAGCGTAAATCGGCAAGTTGTTGTCACTCGCCGCGTCGATCGCATTCCGAGTCGGGTTCCAGAGGTACGTCTGGTACGTACGGACCGCCGAGAAGCGCGTCTTGATCGAGCGAAAGTGCTTGTCGATGTCCTTGGCGTTGTACGTGTCGTACGCCACGCCCATGGCGGCGACCGTGTGGCAGGCGGCAAAGAGGAAGACGAGCGCACTGCGGAGCATCGTTGTGAAAGCAAATGCAAAACTGAGTTGGACGGAGAGCGAGTGGCTGTCGAATTCTCGGCAACAGCTGGTGCACCGTGCGTCGCCGTCGCAAGGCTGTATCCACTGCGACGGCCCCGATCACTTGGTCGTGGGGGTGGGCCCAAATCGATCTCTTGGGTGCCCCGGCCGCAGTATACATTTCGCAAGTGTATTGCCATCGCGAATCTTTTTTTAAATGGGACCCCCTACCTGTCGCCCGTTGCCGTAGACCAAGTGGGGTCGTAGAACGGCAATCTCAGGTACAGCGTGGCACTGCGCCTCGACGTCGTGGCCGGCAAAGTGCCTTTTGCGGGTGCATTCGCAGGTGCATTTACAAGCACAATAAAGAGAGCACCGGCGTTTGGGATCCTTGTTCAAATCGCTCTCCAGTACGACCTGCATGCAGCGTTCCACAGACTCGCGTTCGCCATCTGGGAAGCTACTTCCGAACGTCTGTGACTCGCCTTATTTCTCATGCAAACACAACAGCCACGACGACCGAAGGTGCATCCATCCATTGCTCGTGACACGGACGTCGTCGCTGTTTTGCACGTCGAAATCCTTGTCTGGCCCTATTTTTTATCGAGAGGAGTGGCGATCACACCGCTCGGCGAGCGCTTATAGTACGTGATGCAACGACAAAGCGTACTACGAACCTCACCGCACATCCCAGTCCAAAAGCAGCCAAGCACATATCGTCGTTGTATCGTCAAGACCTGCACTGCCCCACGCACTGCTCGGCACACGGCAAGGCAGAATTGCGTAAGGGATGTCGTCGTCAAGCGTTGAAAGGGCGGCGCAACCGCAACAAGAGGTTCTAAAATGGGAGCGTGCGCACTAGTAATGCTGCGATGGCGCTGAATTCGAATGCGCATCTCCGACTGTACTGTGCGAAGAGTGATGCGAAGGCGACTTGGAGTGTATCATACACATTGGTTCTCGAGTTTGGCCGATTCGATTCGAAACCGAACGAGGTCTCCATCGGTTCGCGCCAGTACTTGGTGTCGAGCACCGCCCCCGGCTTGTAGTAATGCTGACGTATGTGGAAAAGCTACTTGAGGTTGGCATGGAACCTTTGTCGAGCTACCTATCACTGTCCATGACGCCGATTCAATGAACATGTCCTTGACATTGACGCAGACCGTGCTGCTGCACAAGAAGGTGTCTGTAAGCGCTGTTGTTGCGAGCTTTTCGCATTCCTTCATGCCAAGTTCTGTCTTGAAACGATGACGAATATTTGCCCGTCGACGCCGTCGATAACCCACTGCCTTGTCTCTTGAGAACAATGCATTTGTCTATTTGTCTTTGTGTCCATGTTAGTAAATAAGATGTAGCTGTGGACAAAAAGATTTGAATGGAGTTAAATCAATTGTACGATGTATTTGGACGATCTGCGTCCTGTGTCGCTTAGACTTGGAACTCCAGTTGCTGGTACTTGACCCAGACCGCGCTCGCGTCATGGCACTGCCACAAGTGCGGGTGGTCGCCGCTGTCCGAGCCCATGTC